AGTTTGCATGTTTTAAACCACGTGTCACTGCCTGGTGAAACATTATTCTAAAGAAAAGACGCAGTTCTCCCACTGTAACCACCCCGTCCCCTCCCAAATGGAGGAGACTTTTTGCTGCCTTCTTAAACGTTGCATGTACGACTGTGACAGTGGTGAGTAAGAGATCTATAAATGGGTTCTGGTGAGGAGTAAACATCATGTGGTCGTTCATTTTGGAAGCTTGCTGAGTGGGAGGCATTTACTGAACCTTTGTGCACTTGCTGTAATCACTGATTTTCTATGAAGTGCTAATGTTATATGCCTGTTTTCTCCTTTGTGAGGGCACTTATTACAAAGCCAGCTGCCTTATCAGAATTTTAGGGTTAAATATATAGGGCTGTATGCTGTTTGGATAAAGAGAAATTTTACTTAGCCATCTGGTGATTCGTGTACAGTCTTTAATTATATAATATTAGCACTGAACGTGGTGATTTTGTTGTATGTATGGAGGTACAGACAACATTTAGATTTGTTTCTTATTTCTTCTACCTTCAACTAATATGCTGTAGAAGAATAGAAAATACTGACAGTTTGAGATTACTGTTTCTTTTTTTTTTTTTTTTTAAATAAATCTTTACCTCTTTGGGCACATTTACAGCAGGGAAAAAAAAAATAAAGGAGATGCAACATTAAAAACTGTGGTTTTTTTTTTTAAAGTGAGGTTTTGAAACTCATGGATTTATGTAGATTTATTTTAAAAGTTTCATCTATGTTGAACAAACACATAAGCTAAATAATCTCTTACATTAAATATAATAATCTCTTACACTAAAATAGCCATCTTTTTTTTTTCCTTTGTTTAAAAAACTCAGGAACCTAGCCTTTTTTTTTGCTACAGAAGCTAACTGTGGCATCTCATTGACTGTAATCAGGGCCCTGCAGATTCTCAAAATGGGAAAGAAGAAAGGCTTGAGGACTGGAAAAAAAGCTAATTCCGTGATTCAAGAAAGCTTCTAAGCTTGTGCTTAAATCTGTATTTAATCATGACAACATTTAAGCTTGCATTTTCTGTCAAGTACATACCTTTCTGTTTTCTTTAAAACGCAGTGTTGTTCAACAGAATAAGGTTGATTGAGGTGGCAAAAGAGGCACTAGTAGATAAGCTGCAGCAGCTGAAAGAATAACCAGAGAACATGATTGTAAGGATTTTTAATGTACCATAAGCAACCTATTTTTGAGTTTATGGACTCCCGTTGATCTCTGGAGGAGTTTGAGCTCTAAAAATAACGTGCCTTTGGGAGCTGGGAGAGAGAACTGTAGCTGGCCAGAAGGTGGTCTGAGTGGATTGAAGCATCATGGGGAGATAATAGAGGGTCCACTAACTGCAATTATAAGCAACCAGAGAGCGGGAAGTACACTTGAGAGAAAGATAATATTATTAGCAGGTGTTAAAATAGCACTACTTGCAAACAGTGTGCTTTATACAAAATTCAAGAACAAGAATTGGCCTTTATTTTCCTCTGCATCTGAGTTCTGTGGTAAGGCTTACCATGAGACTTTTGTTGGTCCTGCATTTAGATTGTAAGTAACAGATTCCTGTTGGCTGTATTAATTTTTTGTTCATCTTGTTTATTAATGAGTCTTCAAAGAATCATGGAATGGCTTAGGTTGCAGGACTGCCACCCAGCAGATGAGGCTGCCCAGGGCTCTATCTAACCTAGTCTTGAATGTCTCCAGGGATGGTTCCTTCTGATATATGGCCCCTAGACAACTGGCTTTCTCTGGATTAAGTCTGCTATATCTCTGTTGTGACTGGGAGGACTGGAGATAACAGACTTTTTGGTGGATGTTCTGCCTAATGAGAGTCCTGTGCCATTGGGGAAGAAGAGAAACATGTGTTCAGTTCTATGTGATATGATGCCAGCTGGGACACTTAAGCCTTGAGGTTGTCAAAGTATTAAGTGATATTAACATAGATTTAGCAAGAGATAGGTATCAAACATCTGGGAGCAATGAGGGGAAAAATGATTGAAAATTGGGGAAGGACAAGGGAGTACTTGAAGAAATTGAGCATGCAGCTGAAAATAACCCAAGCAGCTGATTATTTGGAGTTTTAGTCACACAATAATATGGCAAATTACACTTTGTTGTTTTAGTTTGTAATTACACTGACATACCCACAGAGAAGCAGGGGCAAATAAGGATCTTTCACCTCATCCACAAAACCACCCTGACCCTCACAACAGAGGGACAAGCTCTCCTGGGACGATAAGCCATGCCCAAACCTACTGGCTGGCTGAAGCTGAAGGGCACCTCTAGACATCACCTGTATTGACCCCTGCTTGGAGCACAGGCAGCCCCTGCAGGTCTCTGAGGGCTGGATGCACTGAAGGTGGACACTCAGGCCTGTCCACTCCAAGACTACATAGCCTCTATGGGCAATCTGCTCCAGTGTTAGATAGCTGTTACATTAAAAAGGTTCATTTTCCTGTCTACATGAAATTCCATGTATTCCAATTTCTGACAGTTACTTCCTATCCTGTCACTGGGCACTACTAATGAAGGTTTGGCTCTATTTTTTTTCATACCCGCATCAAGATCCCTGAAGGCTGGGTGTACATAGCACAGAACGGTTGCTATAATGGGCTCAGGAAACAAGGAAAGGCTAAACTACTTGGTGACTAAGGTAGGGAAAGATGAGCGTGGAGTTCCTACACAGGGCAATGTCTCCTACAGGATGGCACTTGAAGGAAGTACAACCTTAACCACGAATCTGCTAGAAAGGTACATAAAAAAAGGCACATAACCTATAAAAGAGGATGCTGAGTTACAGCTGTCACTCACTCTGTGAACTCGCCCTTAAAATATTTAGAAACAGCCTGACACTGTCCTCTTTAAGTGGAAGGATCTGAAAACATTTGTGCCACCAAGTGCTGAATTATATTTCTTTGTGCCCACTGTGCTGAGCACACCGGTGCTAATAGATACCCACTATTCTGAGCCCAGGCATGAGCATTTGCATTTAATCATAGCTAGAAATGTTTTATCCACCCACCACTGCAAAACAGTCACCTTGTGATATTCAGGAACAAGCACAGAACAGTTTGAAAGAGAATACTCAACTGAAACATAAGAGAGTGTGTGTAGGCAGGCAGTAATTATACAGGACAGGATTACACGTGCATGCGTATCCTGGGGAGCCATCAAATACAGCTTCAAGGTTTGATTTTGTTTTTGAGATCAGAAGTACATAAAATTACCTGATTGTGGGGAAGTTTTAGCTGAAGCAGACTAGTACACTGCAGTCAGTTTAAGACTTGATTAAGCTTGGATGCTAATGGGCAAAGATCATGCTAGTAGCACTGGTTTTTGTTGTCGTTGTTTGTTTATCTCTTCCCTTTGGACAGTAACTCCTTCTCCCTTTTTCAACTCCAGTTCTTTTTCTTTAGACTTCTTTATTCGAAAGATACCAACACTTCCAAGCAGTTCATATTAGGGTTTTCTGAACAGCACCTCTTTTCTCCACCAGTGTCTTCTCAAAGCTAAGTAGTTTGAGTCTTTTGAATGTCCCTCCAATATTTGTTCAAATGTGTACAGCCCCAACACAAAGTGTAGCAAACCCTGTTTAAATGACGTATTGTGAAATACAGAAGGTTGCCATTTTTTCCACCATCCTGTGGCTTTTTCTCTACTTTCTGAGCATTCAATACAGGTTCACTAATTTAAGAAAATTTAAAAAAAGATAGAGAGATATTCCTTCACCCCAAATACTTAAATCCTATTTCATTAAACACCTGCTCTAAGAAAGTTCATGCCTTGAAAAACTGGAAGATATTTTCAAACCCCTTTCCTCAGTATTGAGACTGTCTGGAACCGCTGATGTAATGGCAACCTCCAATGCCCCTTAACTTCAAAGGGAACAGGATTAGACCCTATGCTGTTTCAAATTAGCTGTGACAATGCAGGAAAGAATCACCGCAGATGGGTCAATGGAAATTGCTTATCATTCCACAGACAGCAGCTAATACCCCCTTATACTGCTTAACATAATAAATAAATTAACACTGATGGGATCTATACAACAGACACTACTGTGCTACTGCATCGAGTGTACTGTATCAAGAGTTTTATCCACAGAATGGATAAAACACAGAGCACAGGAGGCACAGAATGCCTCTCCTATGAGGAAAGGCTGTTCAGTCTGGAGAAGAGAAGGCTGCAAGGTAACCTGACAGCTGCCTTTCAGTATCCAAAGGGGAGCTACAAGAAAGAAGGGGACAGATTCTTTAGCAGGGTCTGTGCTGTTAGAACAAGGGGAAATGGCTTCAGCCTCAGAGGGTAGATTTAGGCTGGATATAAGGAAAAAAAATCTTATACAGTGAGGTAGGTGAGGCACTGGAACAGACTGTCTAGTTGATGTGGTTGATGTCCCATCCCTTGAGACTTTCAAGGTGACGCTGGGTGAGGCCCTGATCTTGCTGTGCATCTTCCTGTTCATTGCAGGGGAGTTGGACTAGATGGCCTTCAAAGGTCCCTTTCAACTCTAAGGATTCTATGATTCTACTGTGTTCCAGTGCTAGTTGATCCCGAAAACTGAAGCAGAAATGGGATCTGTGCCACAGTCCTGCTGCTGTCTTGTGCCACAGGACTTGCAGTTTGTGCCTGCTGGAATAACACTGGGACTTCCCCGAGACAAGTTGTAGTGCTGGGGCAACTGGAGAGGGACAAGTGAAGCAAATATCCTTGCTGAGGGCAAAACTCAACGTTTGAAGAGTTCATGGGCTTTTTAGAGAGTCATGAAGTTTCATCAGATGGATTCTTCGACAGTGGGTGGAAAAAGCTGCGGATCAAGATTTGTTTCACACCCACTCTCTATTCTCTGAGCTCAGGTGTAAACAAGTACTGCAGATGCTGGAAATATACTCCCCTTTACAACTTGCAGGTATTTCTCTGCGTTCTCTTGAAACAGCTGTTAGATCACTGACAAATTATTAATTTCTGGTCTTGTATTTGTTATGCAGGTCTGACAAGAAACCAAACGGATTCCATGAATGGATATCATCCAAAATATTTTATATATTTGTATGAAGACTGAACTTCCTAATTCTGCAACTCTCCATGGGAAACATCTTCTTTGTACATTTATATCAGCATTTCTTCTTGTCTATTTTGCTTAACACAGAAAAGTACTGATGAAATAAAAGAGCACAGAAACTAATGAGAAATATGTATATATTCAGGAATGATTTAATCTGAGATCAGGGAATATAATATTTAGAAGTTTGAGGAAAAGTGGTATAAATGCTTTATTAAAGAAAAAGTAATTATTTACAATTAATTTGGTTTCTTTTTTAAAAAGAATGAATATAGACAAAAGAGTTTAAAAAAGACTTCACCAAATTCAGAATGAATGAAGAATGTAATATCTAATTTCCTGTTCTGTATTCCTGGTTATGGAGCAGGAATAGTGGATTATGTGTAATAAAGGAAGACAATATTAAAAGGGGTGGTCTTTATGGTGAGTTTAGCTAAATTCTTTTCTTACTGCAGAGCCAAAGTATTTCTTTTTCATGGGAATATAAACATGCACCAGTGTTCTGATGTTTATGCTTCACCTTAACCTAGTACAGTGAGAATACAAGGTGTGTGAGCCTTCAATCTTCATGTGTAAGCTGTTCTGAAAGTAATACCTTGCATTTATTTCCATGGAACTACAACAGATACAAAGAGCACAATAACACTATTTGATAGAACAAATTCTCAGCTACAAAACGCTATTTTTTAAACAGTCATCACCACTAGCTATGCTTTTTCATCAGTGATGAACAAGAGCCTGCATGCTGTGCTTGTAAAAACCTGCACCAGCTGAGGTGACCCATTGTCACTGTTGCCACCACTGAAAGGCACCATCCACTGCTTCACTATGCTCACATCCACTGGTTGGTCTCCAGAAACATAAGCATTGATAAATGTCAGTGGCTGCCATTTTTTCTGCATGGAGGAACTCAGTGCATATCTTTGCTTCATTTGCACTTCCATGTCAGAGTGACCCTCTGCTGCCATCTGTCACACAGCAACAAAATGCAATGGGATATTGGTGGGAAGGTTCAACCTCTGCTGTCATACATCTGCCTCTGTCATCATGAATCAACATAATGAAATAGGAGGTGTTACTTTCAGAGCATCTGTCTTACAAATAGACAGGTCAAACAGCCTTGTAAGAACATGCTCCTGAAATGCAGGCTGAAGGATCCCTGTCTTCAAAAGCCCAAATAAAGGAGAGATGTAGAAATACTGATGCTGAGCAAAAATGTATGAACACACCAACACATGATTAATCCCTAACACTTGTTTTATACAGACTGTACATAAATGAAGACTGTTCAATGCAGATTCTATTTTTTGAAATTAAATTTTATTGTTAGAGAAATTTAATACACTGTATGCTGTTAGTCTTTGTGTCATTTACTATGAAGGGGTAAGAGAGCTGTTTTGAACTAATATTCATCTACCATTGATAGAAACTCTTCATCATCTGAAATTCTGCCTGGCTCTTGTTTATTCAGTTAAAATAAAGATGATTTTTCTGGTTAGAAAACAAGCTTCAAGTTGAATGTTACTAACAATTACATCCATTTAATTCTAATTGGCTACATGACACAATACAAAACCTAAATAGCAATATTTTTATATTTCACGTTATTACAAGCATATACTTGAGTGGCCGTGTACAGTAAATTCAAAGGGAACTGTACTTGCTCAATTCAGTTCTTGTATTTTTTACTTTAAATATGTAATACCAACATTGTTTAGTATCCTGCTCCATCCTTATATATCCTTACAGCTGATTTCTTTTAAAGCAATCCTTGGAGGTGAACATCCTCAAAAGACAGGCTGAAATGAAAGCTTCAAGAAGCAGAATGCCTCAGGAGCACCTTTCATTTACATACCAATGAGATTAACATCATGTCTATTCAATCAAAAAAGAGTTATTTCCCTACACACTGCATTACCAGTCACTGATGCCGGAGTGCATTATTTCTGTCAATATGCAGGTGATCAAAAAAGGAGAAAACACAACCTTTTGAACCAGAAGCATGTTAAAGACAAGGTGAGTCAGGGACTCAGCTTTTATTATTCCTTACTCACTTTAAAAACACTTCAGAGAATTGCAGAAAACTAAGGCTATGTTTTTTCCCCCTCATTTCATAGCTAAGAAAATTCCTAGTTGAAATTGCAGGTGATGAGGAGAGCTGGGAGCAATGGGAAAGCCTCTTCCAATGGAAAACTGAGGAACTGCTTAGTCCTACTGGCTCAGGCTACTCTGAATTTTCTTTCCCACACAAAAAGTCTTATACATAAATTTTCCCCATGCTGTCCTTTAGTTGGCAGATACCTATTACTTCCTTCTGTCTGTCAGCAATGCAGTACACAAGCATGTGAGGAAGAAGTTCCATTAGCTTGGTACTCTCCACAGCTTGAAGGGTGGATTCACATCACATGTGGTTGAAGACCACAGCAAGGGAAATTCCATTCAGGAATGGACCTAGCCTGTTTCACAGTTGTTTTGATGGAGGATGGTCTTTCAACCTATAAAACATACAGAGCTCTTAAGATTCAGAGAATTCTGTGTAACGGTCATCACATCTGAATGAGTAAGTGTGCTTGTTTCATCATATTTCAACTCCTTCCTCCATAGTGAATGGATACCACCACTGACCACTGAAACATAATAGCAGGGAAAGGGTAGGCAGAAGCAAAGACAATTTTTATTTAGCTTTATTTCCAATGAAATTTCATAATATATGTATAATTTTAATCTTTCTCAAGGCTGACAACTATGCGGCAGAGAGGATCAGCAAGTTGCTCACATTAAGACCCCTCATTTCTTAGCAGTACAATGAATTTCTACTAAAGCATAGGCTCAGCAACTTAGCACCAGGAAAGAAAAAAATAGTAATAATAATAAAAGAGGTTGTGAAGGATCTCTCTGTTTCAGCTACCAAATTTATAATAACTGGTCCAAACTGGCATGTCTTAGTCCTATTACTTTTCATCTGAATATTATGTAAGGGTCTGACTGGGGCATGGACAAATCAGTGAAAGTTGTCCCATTAACTTTGTAGTTATTACTTCTGGAATGTAAAATTTTACACCCAAGATATTACATTTTTGAACAGATTTAAAGAAAACATTGAGGTGTTACGATGAAGTACATGACAACAGATCATGCTAAAATTATACCTATTTCATCTAGTTACACGTCAGCCTTTGTGCGTATGAACCAAACTCATTAACAGCTACCTACTGACATCTCACTAATGAGATAGTAAGTGACTGTCTCTAGGCAGTGAAGCTAAAGGAAGGGTTCCAGCAAAATAGATATTTATCATAAACAAGCCACAGAGACATAAACTCCCCTCCAGCCCCATATCCCTAACCTGCTTAATGAGGGACCTATGAAATATAGCAAAATAAGTGGATTTCAATACCATTTATCTACACTGTTCTCTGCATAGTGCTGGCGTGACAGTACATCAAAGGGACTTTATTGCTGTGATGTCACTAAGCTCAGTGCATGTATAGTGAAGAAAAAGCTTACATTTCTATCTTTCTATCTGGTTCTCCGCATTTTTATCTCTTTATTAGCCAGTTTTGGAAAAGACAAAATGTATCTTTTTTCTGAAAAACTACTCAACAGCATGGTAGAGATATGTTCTGTTAGAAAAACAGAAGTCCTTATTACTGTGTCTCTCCTTCCAGCAAAGGATTTAGTCTTACGAGACACCACTATCTCAGCATATTGTGCAGGAGAATTTTAATTGTGGTTCACTAGGCAAAAACAGGATCTAATGATTTCTCTGATCACCTGCACAGAAAAGAAACAAACGAACAAACATTTAACTTAGAGGTAAAGAAAAAGTAATGAATACTGTTACTCGAAAAATTTCATATATTTGAATATAATTCAAGTGACGACTCTGGTTTAATGATTTCCAATTAAAAGTTTATAACACTTCTGAATTTCTAATACAATCAGTGCTGCTTGCTTTAACACTCAGGAGGCTCTACTTTATGCATTCCTGAATTATAGAATGTTTTTTTTATTTCTCTGGTGGCATAAGCTATTATATTTAGTAGCAAAAGGAAGGCCCCACTGCACTAATCCACTTTTAAGCACATGACAGGGAGCAGGCAGAAGCACCTACTGATGAAGGATAAAAGGCCACACCTGGACAACATACGGCACTGGAGAGGACCATCTAAATGCTGAGAGGATATTCTCACAAGGCGACCTTCCAGTAAAACATCTGTAGTTACAGGCAATTGTATTTATGGAAGTGAATTCCCAAAATCAAAGCCTTGAAGCACAGTTCACTGAGTTCAGTAGCATCCTACCAGGACTGTGGTCACTGTGATCACATCAGTGATAAAGATGCCTCTTTTACATCTCTCATTCCATGTTATCAGTAAATTATTTATGAGACTATGTAATAAAAATCCTGCACTTTGGCAGGATTTTGTATTGTAAAAAATTGATGGTGTTGAGAGAAGAGAACCAGAGAGGGCTGTCTGAGGAAAGTAGTTGTATTTTTCTTGATAATAGCTCTAGGGCCAAAACATTGAAACAAACTCCTTTTGCCTATTTGACTAAATCCTGGTTTCCCTAATGTGTGCGCATGTAATTTGAATAAGTTTTGGCTTTTTAAGCGAAGCAGATTAAGTTAGGGATTTCTGGGGACAAAAAACCATATTTCAGTATACGAGCTGCCTAGTACTACTGGTTCATGAATAACTATGAAGAAAACTCCCTCTAATATCACTTTTTCAGCCCTCAAAAAGTACACCTTAGTTCATGCCCCTTTTTTCTAGGGGCAAATAAAAGGTAATGGTTGCTTGTAAGATAAGTCAAATCTGGTAAAATTCATTGTTTCTGAGTTCTTGGAAGCAGACTAAAATAATTTGTAAAATGAACAGACCTCTTCAGTTGTCATATTCACTTCTCACTAGGCTACTCTGAACTAATTGTGAAGCAAATATTTTCAATAATACTCTACAGAAGACTTGTGTTACTCCTGGAAAGATAATAACAAAACAGCAATATTCTGCTACTGATATGAGCGATGGACTTCACATGTATATGGAGCCTGCAATATTTGATCTGAGCCAAAATGCATAACTCAATATATAGCTGAACGGGGCGTTATAACAATGCAGAACATAGCATTTTCTGTCTTGAGCACATAGATTCTGACCATGTGGGTTGAATTTGGACACAAAGGGCAAGATTCACATGCTTGTTGAAAATGAGGACCCACCATATGAACAAATGGACTCACCAGGTACAGAGGGATAACTCACAGAGGGATGGGTTCCAAGAGATTGAGATGGAAAAGGCAGAGCATGAGAGGCAGAAGAGGGCATAGGTGTGGGTTTTTGTCTTGAGAAGCAGGACAAGGAGCAAAAGTGATTTCAGAGCTACCAAGATCTCTGTGGCCATACCATTTATTTGCTTCTGTTC